TGTGTGTGTGTGTGTGTGTGTCCGCAGCAACTTGTCCGCAACTTCCAACCCGGGAACCACAAAGGCTAGGAAGCTAAAAATTTAGGGGAATGTTTCTTACCCATGTTTGACCTCCCGAATTTAAATTCAGCCTCCCCATACACGCGGATAACACGTACGGCCCCTTAGAAGTTTTGGCGAGTTAAATTATTATCACAGGAACTGCGGAAACCAGAAGGCTGAAATTTTATGGGCATGTCCCCTGCCCACGTAGGCGAAGAAAATTTAAATTCAGCCTTTCCCTATCTGCGGATAACACGCACGGCACTGTGGGAATTTTGCCGGATGAATCATTTCCCGAGAGCCACGGGACCTAGGAAGCTGAAATTTTAGGGCAATGACTCACTGCCTACGCACAACCTTGCAAATTCAAATTCAGCGTTCCCGCGCTCTTGGGTATCACCTACAGCCCCATGGGGATTTATGCGGATAAATTATTGTCTCAGGGATCACGGAATCTAGGAAGTTGAAATTTTAATGTGGAATCCCCAGCTCACATGCAACTCCGCAAATTTTCAACGTCCCGTGGAAGTTTTGGCAAGAAAAATCAGGGGCTTCACAAGCTCGAATTAAGCAGAGGTCTCAGTTACGGCCAGGTGAAAGTTTTGCCTCAACGACCATTCGAAAGCCAGAAAATTAGGAGGTTGAAATTTTTTAAGGATATTCACTCTTCGAGGTTTCGAGTTCAATTTTCACATGCCAGTCCGTGAAATTTTTAACTATTTTCCAGCATCTCAACTATTTTTGCACACACTAAATTACAAAGCAGTGAAAATCATTGACGAGCAGTCGTTCGGTAGATGGAATTGCACAAAGCGTATAATCGCGCTGGCTATTCTGGTGCGCGCTGCTATTTATTGCCCTTGTTATTTCGTATATTTTTTTATAGATTCCGCAAGGCCTTAATCAGCAACAGCTTATGCAACAACAACAACAGCAGCAACAGCAACAACAACAGCAAGGAATGTTGAGGCAGCCACAGGTAAGTATCGTTTGAATTTTCTTTAAAATTTTCAAATGTCTTTCTTTTTCTAGAGGTATTCTTTTCTTATGGAAACTCTTTTTTGCGTTCACTGGTCCCATGGATTTTTTGAAGAGAGCCTTAAGTTTGCTTCTGAGCAACCTTCGGAAGAAGAATACAGTAAATTTTGTTAGTACGTGGTTACTGCTGGGCATTTTAGATTGTCCGGCCTGCCCGTCAGCTTATCACAGATAATGGATGCTTAGGGATTCTTCACTTTCTTTTTTTTTTGATGAATTTTGAAAATTCTTTGTTAATGCTTTAAAAAAAAGACGATACTGATGTGATTTTACAGATGGTCAGTCAGCAGGGTGGTCAGTGGCAACCGGCCCAACAGCAGTACTACCAGCAACAGCAGCAACAACCGCAAACATCGCAGTCTGGTGCGCAGCAACAGCCGCGTGGTCCTGGTGGTCAGTATGCGTCGATGAGCTCTCAGGGTCAGATGGGTGGCGCTCCTCCGATGACTCAACCTCCGCAGCCTCAGTGGCAGCAGCAGTTCCAGAGGACTTCACAACCTGTTAGTCCGGCAATGCAATCACAGTTCAATCAGGTTAGCAGCAGCTTTACAAGTACCAGAAAAATGAAAAAAAATTATATTTTCAGGAATCAGCATAACAATGCATCCTCGAGAATTGGAAAAAGTGGGCGGAAGGGAGGAAGGAGGGGGGG